AAGACACTCGAAAATACAACCAAGAACAAACCGAACACATCATTGAGAACAATAGAAGTGTGAAAGTATTGAGAAAAAGACTAAGAACGGGGCAAGGCATATAATAAAGATTAAAGATAGAAATGGTCATCTTACAACCAACAGAGGAAACAATTAAAATGGTTAAAGACTTCTACAAATTGCTGTAGACAAGCGAACACAAGGCAAATAGCAGAGAAGATCAAGTACCAAAAATTACAAAGCAAAAGAGGCAACCAAAGATCAGAACTACTACCGGATTTCACAATAGACGAAATAAAACTAGCCCTAAGAAAAGCTAAGAATAACAAATTTTCAGGCGAAGATTGTGTAGTTACTGATGCAATCAAAATCGGAGGCAAATCAATTGTCTAAATAAAAAACATTTTTAACATGTGCCTTTTGGACAGTAATATACCCTACAAATGGCATAATGCTGAGGTAATTCTATTGTTACAAAAAAGAGATCCTCATGAATTAGAAAACTACAGACCTATAACTCTTCTTAGTTACCTTACAAACTCCTCAGAAGAATAGTAACCAATCGTCTTTTGAAAACCTTGATTTCTACTAGCCAATAGAGCAAGCGGGATTTTGTACCGGATTTGGAACAAATGATCGCCTACAGAGCATTAAAATGGTAATTGAAAATACTATCAAATACAATCGATCACTCATTCTGGCTTTTGAAGGTTTCCATAAAGCCTTTGACACGGTGGAATATGACAAAATCCTGAAAGTATTACAAGCATGCCGCATTGACTACCGATACACAAAGTTAATTTACAATACATACAAGAACGCAACTATGTCCGTGAAGCGGCATAAAAACACGGATCATATCCCAATAGACAGAGGAATTCGACAGGATGATACCTTATCGTCTAAATTGTTTACCGCGGTACTAGAATGTGCTTGTAAAAAACTTAACTGGGAAGAGAAAGACTTGAACATTAACAAATTTGAAATTCGCAGACGACATAGTTTTGTTCTCGGACAACCTCAAGGTCTTAAAATAAACATCTCCAAAACAAAATTCATGACAAACCTAGTCTATATATCTATACAGCCCTTGCTGTCCAATTTTAGACATAGCCTTCCTTCTTCTTCCTTCTTCCACGTTTCTCTATTGTAGACAGTTTGTATCCACTTGCCACGGGGCTGCGTGTTTCTTCAATTCATCTGACCATCTCATTTGTGGCCTTCCTCTCTTTCGTTTGTAACTATATGGTCTCCACAAACCTAGTACCTAGCGGAAATATCAATATTGGAGACAATGAAGTAGAGCTGGTGGAAAAATACAAATACCTTGGACACGAAATAAAGATCAAAAGAGACAACCAAACAAGCGAAATACGAAGAAGCATAAACCTAGCATGGGCAGCCTACGGAAAACTCAAACACATCTATGGGGACATCTCATCGGCTTATTTTGTTCCGTTAGTAATGAATCGTTAGTATATATTATAAAGTTTATGTTTCTAATTATACAGATGGTTAAAGGCTGGTAAGGGGTCTTGGAGGCGACATGAAGCTGCCGATGCTTTTGTTGTAACAAAACTCTAAGAAATGCCCACTGTTTTAGAATGAATGAGTTGGAGGTTTTAGGAATAAAACTCAGCTCTGCCAGCAAATCCTACTCTACTATACTCTAAATAGAATACCAGAGAACACATGGCTAGAGCATTTTGAGAACTTATTAACAGAGAGAAGAGAAAGGTTTAAACAGACAAATGAACAAGTGCAAGTAGAAGGAAGAATAGAACTATCAATAGAACAAGTGAAAGAAGCAGTTAAGGGAATGAAATTAAGAAAATCTGCAGGCCCAGGCGGAATACATCCAGAGTTGATTAGATATGGATCATCAAAACTGCTTGAAATGATCCGAAAATTATTCGAAAGATGCTTAAACGGAGAAGAAGTTCCAGAAGAATGGAGACAATCGTATATCTTTCCAATACACAAGAAAGGCACAAAAATGGATCCTAAAAACTGTAGAGGGATCGCAGTGATTGCTACTATAGGCCGATTATATTCAAAAGTACTGAGAAATCTGATAGAAAATGATATTAAAGATAAACAACCCGAAGAACAAGCGGGATTTAGGGCCGGACGCTCCACTATGGATAATATTTTTACATTAAAAATTGCAATGGAAAAACGAGTGCAGAGAGAAAGGGAAACCCATATAGCTTTAATAGACCTGGAAAAAGCATATGATAGTGTACCGATCTCCCAACTATGGATAGAAATGGATAACTTGAAAATAAACCCAATTCTTATTAACGCCACTCAAAAATACTACGAACAAAACTTTGCAAGAATTAAAATGGGACAAGAAATCACCTCTACTTTTCAAATAACAAAGGGACTAAGACAAGGCTGCTGTCTGTCACCCACCTTATTTAAAATCTATTTGGACATATTCTTAGTAAAATGTAGAAACATGGGAATCACGGTGGAAGAAAACACGCTATATATATATATATATATATATATATATATATATATATATATATATATATAGCGTGTTATATATATATATATATATATATATATATATATATATATATATATCGGAAAAAGGAGTACGACCGTCAATCCAATATATATATAAGGATCACTCAGACGAGTGGTGGGTTCTTATATCGGTCTCTAGGTGGAGAAATAAAAGACAAAGTTGATAGGCTACTTTATCTATTTTGAAGACGTTTCGCTTTCGAGTTTTGAAAGCATCATCAGTTCATCTAAAAAATTATTACAATATGAGAACCACACAATCATGGAAACGATGTTAATTGTTACCTTAAAAAGATATGTAGCAGTCAATGTTATTAACAAATATGTGAATGAAACTAAGTAAATGGACATAGTACGCTGATCTTGTATAAACAGTTAAGCAACTAACAACATATATGAACTTGTAAAAAATTAGCACAGCAATTGACCATGTGGTCCAAAATAAATTCAATGTTATTTAATGTTAATAAGTGAGAAAGAACCAAGAAAATCAGCTCCAAGTATATTGAACCTTGGGCTGTTTGGAAATTATAATATCGTTAACCACCTGGCTATTTAACTTGCCATAATGATTAACGTCATTACATAATTATGAGGTTGAATGAAAATCTCCAGTTTGTAAATTTGGGCCGGTTAGTGAGGGGAGTTGTGTTTACACTACCAACTTTTTTCACTGTTGTGTCCTTTGCAACCTGGTAGTCATCCAAACTCAGTTTAAATTAAATTAACCGCCCAAAATTTGGGTTGGTATTTACATCTTGTTGATCTGTCAAAAGTAATTTTGACCTCAAGGTTGGCTGTCTTTTTGCGGTTTAGTTCGTTCCTGTTTCATTTAACGCCATTTTCACGGCGACATCCATAGGGCTTTGATCGGTAACTTCATATTCACTATTTTTTAGAATTTTATTAATATTACTTATAATGCTACCTAAAGTTAAAATCAAAGCTTAATATCCATTAAATAGTTGGAAGTTATTTATGATTTTCTTGGTGGTCAATGGTCAATGGTCAATTGCTGTGCTAATTTTTTACAAGTTCATATATGTTGTTAGTTGCTTAACTGTTTATACAAGATCAGCGTACTATGTCCATTTACTTAGTTTCATTCACATATTTGTTAATAACATTGACTGCTACATATCTTTTTAAGGTAACAATTAACATCGTTTCCATGATTGTGTGGTTCTCATATTGTAATAATTTTTTAGATGAACTGATGATGCTTTCAAAACTCGAAAGCGAAACGTCTTCAAAATAGATAAAGTAGCCTATCAACTTCGTCTTTTATTTCTCCACCTAGAGACCGATATAAGAACCCACCACTCGTCTGAGTGATCCTTATATATATATATATATATATATATATATATATATATATATATATATATATATATATATATATATATATATGTTTCTAATTAAGTATTACAAATAAATCAATATAGTACTAAAATTGATAATTGATGTATTTTTTGTAAATTCCATTAATATAGTGAGAGGGGGGCAAATGTCTTCTCCTGTCCCTATCAAATGACGCCTCTATGCCAATAATTAGTAAAAGTAAAAAGTAGGTACTATCATTCAAACTTATCCTGCAAAAACACTATTTAAAATATCTAATGGTTAATTAACTGGCTTAAATATATATTTGCTTAGAAATGTACAAATATTGATTGGCGGAAACAGTAATCTTAATGGGTATTAGTCGAGTGTCACTAACCAATTATACTACGATCCATACTGGTTTGTGATTAGTCAGATCTAAATAGAAACCTGCCTCATATCGAGTATCCGTACCTATATTTCGGACCTTTGTAGGTGTTACCGTAGTGTTTTTGTGAACTTACTTTTATAATACAAGTTTTTATGTACTCACTAAATTAATTTGTCAAGTCTTTGATGTTGTTTTCAAAAATAAAATTGACAAAGATGCAACTGTGAATGAAAATGCAATAAGTTTATTTAAAATAATCATTTTGAGCAAAATTCGTAAATTTTTGAACCAAAGTTGCTATAAATTTTTCGGAACAGTATTTTAAAAGCTTTTTAACAAGATATCGTGTGATAAAACTACTTTATCTCATTAGAAAAAAGAAGTTCTAACTGTCAGGTGAAAAATATCACAGAAGGTTTGAAACTTTTATCGATTTTATGATCATATTAAAAATTGATTATACATTTCCAAAAATAAAATCTTATTTTTGGCAAACTGACCTATATTACATTATTATTAACACTTATTTTAACACACCAAAGTACCCATTAGTCTTAATATATGTCGATTTATAATTTAATGTACCAATTTTTTAGATGACCAAATCCTGCTATGGAAAAGTTTTTCCGCTAATGATATACCTTGTCAGATTAAAAATCCTAATAGTAGTTTAACCATCTCATTTCCCATGGAACACCAACTATTTATTTTAGACACAAATTGTCCTTCTTTTGAGAAAATTCTAGACATGGTAAGTATTTTAACATTAAGGTACCGTAATATAAATTCCCAAAGTTATTGATATGTCAAAACTAATGCATCTAATAATATATCTAACACGCAAATACCTTAAATACGTACGCCTTTTCCGGGCTGAGCTACTCATTTGGTATTATAAAGTGGCCAAAAACGGATATAAAAGGGGCTTCAGCGGAAAGTAAGAACACTAACCTGTAAAATGCGCACCTGAATGAGTAAACCTCTGCATGGGCAAATCAAGAGACAATGAAGAATGAAAAGTACCCAGACAGTACCTATTATTCTATCTACTACTGGTGTTATTCCCAAAAATCTCCTAGAGAAAATAAAACAGCTGGGTCTAAATGAATATCTATATAAGGCCATGCAGAAAGCTGTACTTCTCGCGAGGTCCAGATGTGTACGAACATTTTTGGGAGATAATCCAGCATACCAAGTCACCTAGGGCTCGATAACACGGAAAGAATTGGATCAGAGCTTAATCCTTTTGATACCGTAAGAAACTGGGATAAGTGAATGTTCTCCTTAGATGGAATATGAGCCGTATATCTAAATATATCTAATACTATAAACCAAATACATTAAAGATGTACAGATAACTTGTTTTAGTTTATTCATTTATTTCATATTTTTTCGTTTGGTCTGTCCAAACATCTTTTTTAGAATGTTTATTTAATCTTCATGAGTTAGTGCCCCTTCATTATCCTTTTTAAAATTTCGGCTTCTTTCATTACCTCTTTATTAAATTCTTCTTCGCCACATGTGAAGCTCTTCCATGGTTCATAGTCCTTTACTCTAATTTGAGGTTAATTTCCCCTTGTTTTTGTCTGTATAAGAGTTTTTGTCTTTTGTATATTTACTTCCTGTTTAGTCTTCTTGTTCACCATTTTCATTTGTAAATATATTTCAGTCAACTTCTTCAATCAGAGGTAAATGAGGAAAATACCAAATATATGTTGGTTTCTAAAAACCTACGACATATCCAACAGAGAATTCAAATTAACAACCCTACTTTTGAGCAAGTTAAAGAATTCAAATATCTTGAATCGCTAGTAAATGCAACAAACACGACAAGCGACGAAATAAAAAGACGTATAGCAATAGCAAATAGAACTGTTCACGGTCTTCATAAACATTTAAAAAATAAAAATATAAAACATGCAGATTTCTTGGTATTTGTAACAGAAAAATTCTTAAACAGATTTTTGAGACCGTAAATGCAAATCTTCAAATTATATCAGTTATAAACCGATCCAGATATTGTGAAATTCGTTTAAGTACAAAGACTTGGATGGGCGGAACACATTACTAGGATGTCAGATCACGAATATACGAAGAAATTAGCATTTTCAAAACGAGAGGGCACACTAAGTAGAGGACGACTACGAAGGAGATGGATTGATGATGTGAAAGAAGACCTACAGATTCTAAAGGTCAGAAGAAGATAGGAAGTTGCCAGGAATCGACAGGACTCGCGACTTTTTTGTGACCAGGCCAAGATCCACAATGGATTGTCGAGCCACTTATGATGATGATGATTCGCAAATCAAGAGTCACCTGTACACAACGAGGCTGATTCAGGAAACTTCAGCTGTTAACTCAGTGGCATAAAATATAACATGATCAACCATACTTTGTATGACTGGAAGGAACTAGGAAAGAGCTATGGATATTTATACACTACACCTTTATAAGTTGGTACAAAGTACCAGAATTCTGAAATGAGTATACTTAATAAACGTAAGGTGTACAATAAGCTTCACTATAATCAGTGTATAATAGATGATTCCCAAAAAGGAAAAAACCCTGATAAGAAAGATGTTAGTTTTATCAAGACTGAATTTGGTACAATGGTCTCAAGACACCAAGCGTTAGGAACGGAAATTTCTCGACTGGGTTAAAAAGAAGCAGCTCAGCAGAAATTTTCTAATACAAGAAAAACCTTTGTGCCCCTTTTGTTAATTTAACAAAATAGTTTATTGCAATGTACTAATTTATTAAGTAACTTTCTTGCTTCTTTTTAGGGCAACCAATTACAACTCTTCAATCAACCATACAGATGGATAATATGGGGTCGAACTGATCACACTATTTTTAAAAATCTTTATTTTCGTGTAGACAGTCAAATATATTTAATCGAGCACCCAAAACGATGCTGTAAAAACGATACGAGTGATCCAGTTTACAAAATAAAATCACTATATAAACTTTCTGATGCTCACTTGAATGTATTTGAAAACAATTTGGTGGAATGGACACCCCAAAAAGGCTTTTTAAAATATTCTACCGTAACTTTTTTTAAACAGAGAAAAAATTTGAACCATTTTAACTTAAATGTGTCATATGTCATCACTGACCCCGATAGTTATAATCATCTTGAAGATTTCAGGTATTCTATATTAGTTTATCTTTGTTTTTTCTTTTTAATTTCATCATCATCATAATATTGGTACATATAGGCATCAGTGACTTTATTAATTCTGCGATACTTAATTTGAAGCCGACTTTGTTGTTCTGTAGATTTATTTATTGCATATTTTTCTTTAAACTTAAGCTTTTAAGTTTCTTTAAACTTCTCATCATCGTATCATTATCCTTTTTTCAGAGTATCTCCCCACCGTACTGAGATCTACAAGTATTTCCCCACTTTTTCTCTTATTTTAAGACCTTGTTAATGCTTTTTCTGGAGCATCTTACTGTTTTCTGCCGAGTCACGATGATTTTTTAGTGATTCTCTTAATTTGATTTCATTTTTCTAGTTTTACTGTCATTTCTAAATAAGAAAAACATCGCATCTGGGCCACATACTTCGAAACGATAAATACTCTCTTCCACACGTCATAATGCAAGAAAGGGAGAAGAAAAGGCTTGGGAAGAAAGAAGAAATCTCCATTATCATCATCATTTGGCTCTACAACTCTATGTAAGTCTTGGCTGCGTTTACTATTTCCCTCCATTGTTGTCGGTACTGAGCATCTATTTCCTATTGCTGTATTTCTATTTTGCTTAGATCACTGGTTACTGCGTCCTTCCATCTCTTGGGCGACCAACTGACCTGCCATCGAGCCTTTTCCAGAATGTGGCGTTCAGGAGTCTTTCGTCACTCGATCTTAGTACGTGGCCTGCTCATCTTATTCCGTTTAAAGAAGAAATCTTGGCTGGGGAATATCAGAGATTAGACTAACCTCAGCTTTTAACAGATATTTCACGTTGCAAAAGATAAAGAAGCGTTTAAAGAAGTGATCGCCAAACATCGTTAGAAGACGACACAAAGAAGTTTTACTGTATGTTCTACATTCATATGTTCATTGACTTTTTCAATTTCATTTCCTTTTAATCCTTGGCGGTATTTTGTTTACATTAAGTTGGTTTTGCTTAGGTCCATCTTCAAATCGACTTTATTTTTATCTTTTTTTCGGTTCTTTTAGCAAGCGAAATAGTTCTTCTACTAATGCGTATTCATGAGTAGTATATCGTTATCAAATCTTAGATTGGTTATAAATACCGCAATATTTATAACGATATTTTCTATGATACCGAATTTTCAGCCTACTTCAATATAAAAAATTCTCACGATCTAAAAATTATCATATTATAAAAGAGCATTCAGTATACGATCATACCTTGTTCTAGAAACATACACATCGATGCGATATCGAAGCTAAATTGGATTATAGTTGGGTTGTTATTATCGACATTAAATGCTTCTTCTACGAATATTTTTCAGTCTACATGGGGATATAAAGAAGGAAATTCCACTATATATTCCGGAATGATAGGAGACTTGCAATCAAATAGAGCCGAAATCGGAGGTAAGTCTCATTAGGTCAGATAAGTAAGTAAAATAAGTAACTCAGATATCTCGATACGCGGTGTACCAAAACCCGATCAAATACGATCAAATATTTCACGAAATTTACATCGGATCGAAAAACTGAAAAAAAAATGTTCAATATTTTTCAATAGTTTGTTGACTGTAATGAAAAAAAATTAGGAAAGCCTGTCTAATTTTTCCGAAGTGTCTACTGTTCCGATGCAGAATTAATATATAATAAATTTCTTGTACAAAAATTACTTTTATTAAGGCATTTTCTAAATTGTTGATAGATGAAAATCATTCATATCGGAATAATCTATCATAATCGGAAAAATGCAATTTATCCTACTACCCTAGGAAAATTATGGAAAAGGTTTAATATTTCGAAAAATACAATACTAAATTAAAAACCAAAAAGCAAGTGTTCAAGATTTAAAAAAAATCAGTCGAATGACAACAAACCGACCCTCCTCTACTACCCAAAGATGTAGGGGCGGACAACTTTAAAATTTTAAATAAAAACTCCCATTTTTTATTTCTAATTGGGATTTTATGTAGAAGACTGTATTTAGTACCATAAAAATTAGTTTATAGGCTTCTGATTTGTATTTATTTTTCTACGATTACAGAGCCATATATGGCAAGCCAAAAAATTTTTAAATAAGACTTGTTTACTTTTTTACGTAAAATCCGAATCTGCAAAAAAATCTATTTAAGATTTCAAAGTTGCTTCCTGTCCCACCCCCAAAGGTCCCACTTTTTTCTGGAAATCAGTTTTTAATATTCACTCTTATCAATTATTTATTATTTAACTTATTAGCGTAAACAAATTGAAATATTTACCGATATAACTCTCGATATGTGTGTTTTTACAGACGAAAATAGGACAATAATTTCTTTTGTTTTTACTGCCACGTTGCCAAACTTCAGCTCTAGATATGTGATGGTAAAATGCATGTTAATTAAATGTGGTTTTTTTAATTTTTAGGTACAGCTTTGTTCTTTACTATAGACAGAGTTGACGTAATTGAATACGTAGCACCCAGTGCTCCTACTTTCATGAAGTTCATATTTAAAGCTCCGCCGTTGTCATACGTCTCAAATGTTTTTACTCTACCTTTTGACACCTATGTATGGTATTGCTGCTTTGCTTTAGTACCTATTATATTTATAGCAGGTATGATTTACATACAGAACATAGATTTATACGGAATATATAATAATTCATTGGAACAAGCTGCGTCATGACTTTTGACATATCCATTGTCACAATAGGTGCTATTAATTATTCTATGAAAGTGAAAAGTTCTTAGGTGAATACCAGTGATTAAAAGTTACGATCTGTTGTAATGTAAACATAGCAAGAAAATAAAGAATAAAAAAAATAAGGGCTAGTAGCATAGGGAGAATAATAATCATTCAATAAATTATTATATATTCCATATTAAATAAAGTAACGTATACATTTAAATTATACAAAGATAACAATTGACCTAGTTTGACACAAGCCCGAATGTTTAAGAATTACGAAATCTGAAGACCTTCGTGAAAATTAATACAACGAAGCGACACACCATCGCATGTTACATTCCAACACGTGGAACAGTACAGCAGAATCAGCAAAATAAACTAGGAATGTTCGCGGGACATAAAGACTAAAAAAATTGGTCAACCAGGCAGTAGTATCGAGGGAGCGCTCAAGGCATTAATTGCCAGCTCCGCGAGCTCTCGGACGCGATAGCGTCCAGTACGCGATCAGTGGTAGCTGGGCAGCCGTGACTGCCCGAGGCAGTAATTGCCAGCGGAGTCAGTTAGTATCTTCGGGCAGGGCTGTCAAGACGAGAGGCGACACTAGGTGCGGATTACGCGCGATTGTTATATTTCGACGGGATATAGTTTCCGTATAAGTGTCGAGTACTTTGAGGTACTGGGAGTAGTACAGATTGTAACCCCTTTACTTTCTTGCTAAGATCTCTTCTCGTCTCCCTTCGCGCCGAACGAGTTATTATTGATTATATCTGACAGCTTGTTAACTTAATTGTAAACCACATAGGATATTCAATACATTTGTAGACTCTAAATTTGGGTTTTATGTTCCTTCCGGCCGATTTAGACAAGGACCAGAAGAGTACCAAATTTCGGCTTATACATTTATCCGGCTTCTAAAGTAAGCCCATAGACACAAACTCTTTACAGGACCTGAGACCTAGAAGTCCTTAAATCCCTATCTCGAAACTTCTCTACCTTCTCGTAAATCCACGAAGGCGAGCCAGCCATTTCAGACTAGTGGGACCAGTAGCCTTGCAGCCGCTCGCAGGGATAAGCATCCTTAAGGTTCATATCGAGGATGTTACAGTGGTGACAGCGTTGTACAGTGGTGAAGATTTTCTCACCCTCTAGTTCCAGATTTTTACAATAGGGGATAAAACCTCCCGCAAGTTGTACACTATTTTATCTCCAACGATTTGCACTAGAGCAGCCCGCGAAATTCGATTTATAGTTTTCTGTTTTAAAGCAATATCAAGTGCTTCATCTTATAGTTTTGTTCATACAAATCCCTAAGTTTTCCTGCAATTCGCTCTTTTTTAAAACCATCAACTAACATATCTATCGCTAATTCTTCCAAAATGTTATCAATCACTTCTGGATAAGCTAACAGCACCACAAGAGAAACATCTGCTCCAAGATTTTTCAGTCAATCTCGTCAAACCGCAGTCAAGAAAATATAAAAATATACTTTTCTTCTTCTGTCCAATCGTTGGCCAACGCAATAGCGTTAAATTGTCTTATTATGTCTTAGATATATGGTTGATAAATACAAATACCTAGGAACCTGGATTTCAGACAATAATGATTAAACACCCGAAATAAGAGCCAGGATCGAAATAGCAAGAAATGCGTTTGTAAAAATGAAAACAATTCTCTGCAAGAAAGACTTTAGATTAGAACTGAGAGTAAGAGCACTGAGATGCTACGTGTTTTCGATACTGCAATATGGACTTGAAAGCTGGACATTGAAGCAAGAACACATAAATAAGATACAGTTCTTTGAAATGTGGTGTTACAGGAGGATGCTTAGAATATCATGGGCACAGAAGAAAACTAACACGGAAGTATTGCGAGAAATAGACAAAGAATGCGAAATAATAAACACAATAAAAATAGGAGAGTTACAATATCTGGGACACTTACTTAATGAGGGGACAGCGATATGAACTGCTAAGACTGATAATACAAAGAAAGATAAGAGCAGGAAGGAGTATATAAAGAAGGAGAGTGTCATGGTGGAAGAATTTAAGGGACTGGTTTAAATGCAGTTCTATAGAACTCTTAAGAGTAGCAGTAGATAGAGTAAAGATAGTGATAATGATATCCAACCTCCGATTGGGAGACGGCACTTAAAGAAGAAGATGTCTTAGATATATGTATTTTATTGAGCGTATGTCTACATCACAGATGAGTTTTGTGGACAATCATAGAGGACAATAAATTACAAAGAGTGAATTACAAATAAATTTGACAAATAAACGCAAAGAGCCAGCAATACCAGGAACTAGATATCGTAAAACATATTAAGATAGGACGTCTGATGGATAGGGCATGTAATGCGAATGGAACAAAATGAGCCAGCTAGAAAAACGCTTTTTGATAGACCCATTGGTCAGAGAAGAAGAGGAAGACCCAGAACAAGGTTCCTTGATAACATCGGTGAAAACATGAGAACTATGGGAATACGTGCTTGGCGAAAGAAGGCGATGGATATGGACGACTGGAGAGAAATTTTTGAGGAGGCTAGACTCACGCAGGGTTGTAAAGATAAAATGATGATGATTATTAAACAGGCCAGAGTTGCTTTTAGAAGGATGTCAAAGGTATTATGCAACAGCGAACTAAAATTGGTATTGCGGATGCTCCTACTTCGCTGCTACGTGTTCGCGGTCGTATTTTACCGTGTCGAGTGTTGGACTGTGAATAAAAGCAATCTAAATCACCTTGAGGTTTTCGAAATGTGGTGCTATGGAAGAATTTTAAAAGTTTCTTTGATGGAGAAGATTCTAAACTATACAATACTAGAATGTCTCAGCAAGACTACAGAGATTATAAAAAGCTTCTTCTTCTTCTTCTTCTTCTTTTACTTTTTGTAGATCTTTCGATCTGTTTAATTCTGAAGCTGCCTCTGGTTAATTTCTTGGGAGGTAGATTGCCAACTATCCCTCCATCTTTTAGGTGATCTTCCGGGGGGTCTTGAACCGGGCGGATTGTTTTCTAGGGCAATTTTTGGGAGTCTATTCTCATCCATTCGTCTTACATGGTTGTACCACATCCTCTTGCGCTGCCTTTCCCATCTTACAATATCTTGAATTTTGCACTGCTCTCTAATGTTTGTATTTCTCACTCTGTCTTTTCTTGTTTTCCCCATTATTGTTCTTAGGGTTTTCATTTCGGCAACCCTTAGCATCTGTTTCGTTTTGTTGGTATCTTCGCGCACTTCTATGCCATATGTCATGATCGGTCGTATGCAAGTCTTATAGATTCTAATTTTACTATCTGTGCGCATATACGGATTTGACCAGACTATTTCCCGCAGACATCCTGACAGTGCAGATGCTTTGTTGATCTGACTCCTCAGGTCCTTTACTGGGTCGTGGGTACTTGATATATCTATGCCCAGATATCTGAATTGCATCACATGTTCTGTGGGGTTGTCCTCAACCACTAACTTACATCTGAGCGGATATTTTGCTATTGTCATACATTTAGTTTTGTTGGTAGAGATGTTCATATTTAGTAGTCGGCTTGTTTGAAAGAACTGAAAGAGCTGCCTTTGGAGATCATCTTCTGATTCGGCAATAATTGCTGCATCGTCTGCGTAACACACCATACCAATTCTTTTGTTGCCCATTCTATATCCGAGATTAAGAGATGTTACTTTGTTGATAATTTTGCCCATGAGAAGATTAAACAAGAAGGGGCTTAGACTGTCGCCTTGTCTAATTCCTCCCGGTGTTGGAATATTTTCAGTGAATTCGTCTCCTGCTCTAACTTTGGTTACGTTGTTGTTATGTTGTATTTAGGTTATGGAGTATCTTTGTTATACTGGTCGGTGTTTCATTTTCTATTAATATATTTAGAATGTCTCCCAGGCGAACTCTGTCAAATGCCTTCGTCAAATCAATGAAGCAAATATACGCTGGCATGCCGAACTCTATAGCTTTTTCTTTTATTTGTTTTATTATAAATACTGCGTCTGTTATAGACCGCCCTTTTGTAAAACCTTGTTGTTCTTCAGCATTAGTGATTTGCTTTTCCAATTTGTCCTTGAGAATACCCGTGAAAAGTTTCATTGTTGTATTTAAGAGGGTTATTCCTCTATAGCTTTGTGGGCAGGTTTTTTGTCCTTTTTTAAATATGGGGATTGTGATACTATTATGCCATTCCTCTGGTTGGTGTTTCTGTTTTGTTTAATATTTTGTTAAATAGTTGTGCCAGTTTACTTGCAAGTTCCGGGCCTTCATATTTTAAAAGTTCATTGGGTATACCATCCGTTCCCGGTGATTTTCTGTTTTTTAGCTTTTTGATCTTTGCTTCTACTTCTTCGTCATTGATTGTAGCACTCACATCTGTTTCGCCTTCGTTTATATTCAGAGTTTCTTCAGAATCATATAGCTCTTTAAAATGATGTTGCCATGCCTCTATAGGTACTCCTTTGGTCTGCACGAACTCGTTAACTGGTTTTTTCCTATTGCGGAGCATTTTCCATACTTTCTTTTGGGCACCATATAGGTCGTAGTCCATGTCGCAAGTGAATTTGGCCCAATGTTCTCTTTTGATTGATTTTATTCTGGCGTTTACCTCGTTTCTTATTTGGACATATTCTGTATGAGCTTCTTCCGATTGCGTGCTTTTATATCTCAGGTAGCATTTGCGTTTTAATTCAGAGAGTTCTTTTACATCTTGGCAAAACCACGGTTTGGTGTGGTTTGTCGCTCTCGTGTTAATTTTCCGCTTTCCAATCTCTTCGTCTGCTGCTTCTTTGATGCATTTCTTAATTTTTTGCCAAGTATCTCCTACTCTCCATTCGGGTTTTAAGTCGATCTCTTTTAGTTTGCTGGTAACCCTGTTCTCATAAAGCAGTTTTGTACTCTCTGTTGCTAGCGACTCTATATTATGTTTTTCGATGAACATTGGGGGTTTTCTGTTTCGTTGCGGACGTTCTAGTAGCATCTTGCATAAAACAAGGTTATGATCAGTCCCCAGGTTAGCAGATGTTAGTGCTCTGACATCAAGTACTTGAGACGGAGTTATCGCTCGATTTGTGATTATAAAATCTATCATTGATCGCTGGCCTCGATTATTGTTAAAAGTGTATTTATGTTGGTCTTTATGAGGAAAGTATAATCCGACAAGCGAGAGCTGGCGGGTGACCTGCTCCAAAATAGAAGAGGAATTATTCTAAGACAGATAGGAGAAGTACTTAATCGCGATTATACGTATATAGTATAGGTACTTAAACGGTTATACACGATGTACACGATGTACATGACTTAAACGGTGAACACTTTTCAATTTCTTCTACGCGCAACCCGCCAGCTCTCGCTTGTCGGGTTATATGTATTGTTGATTCTCATTTCATTTCTAGCGCAAAAATCTATTAGTGCTTCGCCGTTTTCATTAATTATTTCTTCGTTGTACTTTTGTTTTATACCTGGTATGACAAAGTTTCCGGTCCGTGCATTAAGATCCCCGAGTACGATAATTTTGTGTTTCGTATTTATGTTATCTACGACGTTTTGTAGTTGCTGATAGAAATTTTATTATTATAAAAAGCACCAAGAAGAAATAGTTGGAATACTTCGGACAATGTAGTGGGAAGTCCCAAATATAGATTGCTACAAAATATTATTTAAGGGAAAATGGCAGGCAAATGCAGGACGAAGAAAGACTTCACGGTAAACAACAACATGGTTGAAGAAGATTGGTATGATATTGATACAAGCATGCTATTTAGGGTGGCAATGAATACAATTAATATAATTTTGATATTAACCAACGTTCTGAAAGGACATGGTACATAAATAAGAATCAAACATTTAGTTGACAAATATATTCAATTGACTCTTTGGTCGCAACTGAGAAATCGGACGAATTGCCATTGTAAGATCTCATCAGACATTCCTCCACTAGATGTTTATTCATTTGTCTTGCAGCATCGCAATCGGAGTTATTTTTGAGGGTATTTTGTACCACCTAAAAAGTGAGTCAGAGCACCTGCCACAATTTGTTCTGATTCTGTTCAGATCCGCCTTGGTTGGTCGAAAGCCTTTGGCTTGCTTGTAATACATAGCATATTACGGGTATCAGGCGATGTATTCTTCTACCAATTTTCTCGCCAACGGTCGGTTATCTTAAAGTTTCTTTTAATTAGACTTCTTGCAAAATCAAGAGCGTTGCTATTAAACGTTATGAAAATTGGAACAAGAAGATTTCCCATTAAACAAAGGCAATTTGAAGATCATATCAGATATCAATTCTGCTTTTGTTCATTCTTTCTTCACTATCGAACCACCGTTTACTGTATCCGTTTCGACCAGTTAATAGACCTTCCGTTGGTAGTAGTTACATTAGTTATCATAATTTCTGGTTTTTAATTTTCTGTTCTTATCCTTGTTTTATATAATTTACATTTTTCAGATACAGATTTTATCGATATTTTCTTCATTTATTGTAGAAGTGCCTTCAATATTTTTCCAAATTTCTTTGAATTTTTAAAATGTTCCTCTCTATTGATGATAAGTTAAATATCTGTTTTTAAGAGCGTAGCGAGCGATTACATTATGACTGAGGCCGAAAGTCTCTTAGAATAAACAAAAAGTTTTTTTTTAATGAAATATTTGAAATTAAAAAATCACACTAAATTTTCTCTTTTTTTTTCACTCCTGTAACTTATTAAAATAAACATTAATGAAAGTTTTCAGGGACTTTCGGCCCTCGGTAATAATGTATTCTTTCATTCCGTGTTTAAATTTTTCAAAAATATTTAATAGTTTTCTCAGGATTCGAAAAAAATGAATGTATTTAAAAAGCATTGGCCCGAAATTTTGCGCCTACGCTCTTAAAGGCTTTTTTGGAACCCACCTTAATTTTTATCCCGATCTTTTCTTCAAGTTGCTTGCAGAACTACTTCACGGTAAAGTGTTATAGCAACGCCATCGACTAACACGTAAATTGATAGAAATTTATTTAAAATATTTTAAATAATAATTTATTTTAAAAGTTTCTTATTTGTCTTTTTTTAGTTTTTATAATAGTAAAATGGGAGTGGAAAGATCCAGTTTTCAAACTTAAAGTCGAAGAAACCCACTCGAACAGCATTACCCCCTTAAGGCCTGGATTTTTTGATATTCTGGTCATGGAGCTTGGCGCAATCACCCAACAAGGTAGTGATACTGAACCAAAAAGCAATGCTGGTAGAGCTGCCATTGTATTTACATTTATCGCATTTATGTTTTTATACACCGCCTATTCCGCTAACATAGTAGCCCTTTTGCAAAGCACCACGGAGAGTATTAAAACTTTGGAAGATTTACTACGTTCCAGGATGGGTTTGGGAGTTGAAGATATTGTTTATGCACATTATTATTTTAAGGTAAGTCGGACACACATTAAGTTTAAAATTTTTCAACAAGTCGTTAACCCGTGATAAAAATCTGGGCAAATATATATATATATATATATATATATATATATATATATATGTGTGTGTGTGTGTGTGTGTGTGTTTTGTAAGATTTCCGCGGTTAGTACAATTAAACCTAGAGCTAAGAATAATATTATTACAATAATTAATATTAAACTCAACACTCTTCCGAGTTGAACAGTGTCGATTATCATTGCGCCGAGCTTTCGACATCCTCTTTGATGTCTTCTTCAAGGCTTCCGAGGTTTCAATCTCCCGAGCCCATGATACAACTACACTGATTACTACAGTACTACAGTAATTTAACATCTTTTAAAAACAATATGTCAGGAGTGGAATGGTAAAATAATTTTTTAGACGACATTTCCAACTTTCTTAGAGAAATAATATTTCCCTTGTTAGAGCTGATACTGATGCAGAAATCGTAAGTAACTTCTTTGATAATTTGGAGGTGAAACTACAAGGCATTTTTGCATGTAACATTTGGAATTATTATGAAACTAATCTTGTCGATAACTAAGGACAAACGAAACTAATAACTAAGCATGTACTTCTTTAGTGGTGTGTGGAAATGCGAGGGTCAATTAGATCCAGTTTATATTAATTAAAAATCTCAAAAACTGTTGAGCACTTGTATCATATTCTTCTTAATATTTGTATTTTAGACTGCTGATGAACCTACAAGAAAAGCCATCTACCAGCAAAAAGTGGCACCGAAAGGTCAAAAACCAAATTTTTTTACTAAAGAAGAGGGAATAGCTAGAGTCCAGAAGGAGTTTTTTGGTTTTCACATAGAACTTTCCACCGGTTATAAAGTAATCGCTGATACTTTTAATGAAAATGAAAAATGTAGTTTAAAGGAAATCGAATTTATAAAATTGCTAGAACCCTGGTTATCCATAAAGAAAAATTCAGCTTATAAAGAAGTTATCAAAGTTGGGTAAGTATATTTTTAATATTTAAACTATTTCCTAATAAATTAATAAATATATCAAACAAGTGAAAGAGTTGTTGGAAACTTACCGAATCAATTAGTATGTATTGGAAGCGAATATTGGATAGGCCCTGAAAAATAAGACTATACATCGTCCAATCGTGCTAACAGCTGGTCTGTCACAAACTTGATGATATGCAGCGAGCGCATTTCGTGATAACTGACGTCATAATTACTTTAACACCTATTTCAGGGATGAGGTAAAAAAGCTCAAAAATATCAGATGAATTTTTTATTTTAAGACTGCCTACCAACTGAAATGTCAGTAAAAGTAGATGATATCTCATTGATTTTATTGATTTCATTGATTTCATTTATCAGAAGATTAGTTACTGAAGAACGCTTTTAATTCTCTAACACAATAAACCTACAATCATAATTGATGACCTTAATGTCGGATCCCCTAACTGCAATGATAGAGGTACTAATAGAAACTGGAGAAAACTGATCAACTATCTCGAAAACAGGGACGAAACAACAGTAATCGTGCCAATAGAACCAACACACTTCCCTAGAGACAACAATCTACCCACTCACCTAGACATATCTGTATCAAAGAATCTAGGACTACTGACAGAAATACAGTCGCTAAACGACAAAGAATTAGACCATAATCCCATACTGCTGTAGATTTGGAAGAATCACATGGAAAGAAGCCTATCCTTCAACTTATAACAAAAAGAAGACAAAGTGGCCAACCTTTAAAAGACTAGTCAGCGAATCGGTGACATCTAACCATAAACAGACCAGTAGAACTAGAGGCAAGAGTCCTAGACTTCTAAAATACCATAAGAGAAGCCATATACAACAGCACTAGTAGCAGAACAGGAATATACTAGCAACATACCAGCAACAGACGTAGACGCGGAGATATCAGCCAAGAGCTGACGGAACTAATTAGAGAGAAGAACAGAGCAAAGAAAAGTAACAGAAGACAAGAGCTCAACAATACAAGAACAGAGCAAACAGACTAAATAGCTCCAAACAGACGAGCTCCAAAAAAGGGCGAGCGAGAAATGGGAAAACCATGTGAAGCAACAGAAATAAAACAGCAAAAACATCTACCTTGTGTGTAAACTAGGGAGAATCCTAACAAACGATACAAACAATGCCACCTCTATATGAAGAAGACGGCATAGTATATACCACCGAACACAAGGCCAAAGTGGTAGCCGAACTATTACCAACAAAAAGACTCTGTATTTAAAGAGGAAGTCAAAGAACAGAAGACCAACATTTTCCACAGAATTGTATAAACAAAGACATTAGATAATCAAAAAAAGAATCTTAGATAATCATAAAAATAATCCAATTTACTTAGACAAGAAATAGCTTTATTCGTAGCTAAAAGGAAATTCTTAAGTTGCCTTCGTAAGCTCTGTATCTTGGTAGATACAGCTGCGGTTGAGAAACAACAAAGCCTGTTGTATTTGAATTCTTTTAGTAGATAAAGAGCGATTCTGTTTTGTAGCAGTCTAAAGAAGTTTACATAATATAATTCTTAAATAATTAGAAAAAATATTCAATAGTGCAATTGGGAGATAGTTTTTGGTTGGTTTGATGGTTGTTCAGATTTAAGTATTGCTATAACATTTGCCATTTGTATTTCATCAGGGATTCTACTTTTGTTAAGGATATTGTTAACTATATTTACATTGTAACATGAACTCTGAAGGAATGGCGTCAAAACCGGGTGATTTTTAGGTTTTCTTGGCAAATGTTCTTGATAACTACTTTGTCTATAATACTATAAAATGTCTATAATGATTTCAAAAATCAACTGAGTTCTGGATAAATAATCGATACATAATTTTTGGTTAGTATGAAATCTATTCAACAACAATAATAAAACAGACCACAGCAAAATAAACCAACAGCAAAGCCCACTTCTGCTTCAGCAAGATGCTGTTTGCTTTTGTTACCATGTCTATTACATTTCTAACGAAATGTTGTCTTATTTTTTTGAGCAGTGTATTTAATTTGACAATATTTACCTTTCAGGTTAAGAAAAATTTTGGAATCAGGATTGCAAAGAAGAAATACTAACCGTCTGTACCTAAAGAAACCCGTCTGCCATAGCAAAGGTAGTAATTTCGGAAGCGCAGGAATTCTTGATTGTTACGCCGCTTTTCTGATTTTTGGCATAGGAATTGTATTGAGTGTTCTATTTTGTTTGGCAGAATTGATAGTTCAGCACAAATTTCAAAGATATGTTTAAAACCTAATGACGTTACTCATTGGAAAAATGAAATTGAAAATGCTATGGCCTCTATTTTATGATTAAATGTTTGATAATGTAGATATAGAGTAAGTTAATAAAGTTATATGCACACTCTTGATGTTGTGAATTGTCTCTTTTCTACAAAACAAGTAGCGAGCCAGACATTATAACTGGCTAAATAGTCCTTCGTCGAAACAATTTTTTAAGTGGTAATAATAATGCTTGATGAGTTTAAAAGCTCTTTATTTTACGTTGCTTACCTTAATAGAGAGTTACATATGACTTTTGTAGATCTTAAGAAGGCACAGTCCCGCTAAATAAACTATGGGAAGTCCTGGGTACATCAAACATACATCAAACATTGGTCAGTACTCTCAAAGATCTATATTATGGTTCAAACTTCCAAATGAAATTCGGAAACCTCTTAGCTGAAAAATGTGCAGTTACTAAGGGTCTCAGACAAGGATGTTGTATCTCTCGTACTCTATTTCAGATTTATATCTCTGCAGCTCTGAAACAATGGAAAAGGAAAGTCAAAGGAATGGGTGTACAATTGAACGATCAGGATTACATATATAGTTTACAGTTTGCAGATGATCAGGTGGTGATCTCAAATGACAAAGATGACATGGAACACATGCTTAGAAAACTAATTGAAGAATACCAGAAATGGGGATTAAATATCAATTTAGAAAAGACAAAATACCTCTCAATTAGAGCTGAAGCAGAACAACTCGCTATCGATGACAATCAAAAAAATAAATCCATGTGACGAATATAAATACCTGGGAGTCATCTTCGACCGTAGTGGAAAAGACGAACGAGAAATAGAACATCGAATTGTACAAGCACGAAGAGCTATAACATGTTTGAACGGAGTTCTATGGAGTAAAGAAATATCAAAGAAAAGAAAATGGAACATCTATGAGGTAATGGTTAAAACTAGCCTACTTTATGGAGCTGAGACATGGAGAATACCCGAGAAATATAAGAAAAAGGTCGAAGCCACGGAAATGGATACCATCAGTAGATCGGTGAGAATATCAAGAGCCGACAGAATACGGAATGAAGTGATAAAACAACAAATGAGTATAGAGGGCACTGTAGCTGACGATATTGAGAGAAAACAGCTTATATGGTATGGGCATATGAGCCGAATGGGGGACGAAAGAATGCCAAAAAAACGATGATGTGGCAACCCCCAGAGAAGAGGAAACGAGGAAGACCACCACAGAGCTGGAACCTGGGAGTTAGGAAAGCGATTAGCGCTCGAAATCTGGACGAAGACCTAACTCAAGACAGAATACAGTGGCGTTTGGGAGTCGGACAACGTCGTAAGACGTTATAAAACCGAATATTATATATAAGATGGTGGTATTCTTGACTGTTGATTTAAATATAAGTAAGGATGCAGTCAGTTTATTTGGCCCACAAGACAAAGAAAACTCTTTGACTTACTGTCAAGCTTTCGAATTTTATTTAGTTCTCTTTCAAGACATCTATAAAAAGAAATATAAATTAACTAGTTAAAATTGTTAATTGTCTTACTTACTAGTCGTGAGATTACAGTTGTTAATATTGTACTCAAAATAACTATATTGTCACTATATATGTCATTGTCATGGTTTGATTAATGGACATATATGAATGAAAATACAGTTATTTTATGTGGAAAGCAAAACCAGTAACAATAGTTTCTATTATAATTTATTTAATTGTCTATAAAAAATATAAATTAATCCAGTCAGCAGTTTCTCTTAAGCACATATAAATTTTTAATGTTAGGATGTCAATAGAAAATGAGATTTTGACGGTATTTATTGATATGTTAATATGTAACAATAAATGTTACTTAATTTGTCAATATCTGATCTTCTATTTACACATTTTTTATTTTTTTGTATATGTGTCATTTCTAAAAATAACCGTTTCCCCAACTACCACTTCCCAAAAAGTGGTAGTGATGATTTGCCATTTCCATCTTCCCTTATGTCAACTTGACAAGTTTGATGCATACGTGCAAGTTTTTTTACAACCACTTTAAGAGGCCAATTTTGTTTATCTTCAGACGAATACCATTTAAGATCTGTGCCATTTATCATCTTTGTTAGATTTCTGTAGCTATTTTCGTCGTTTACATTATTTTTTATATTTCCACCTGCCACCGTGCTAGTTTAGATATTTGCTTACTTGATAAATGATCACTAGGGTGACGCATTTTTACTGGCGGTGGTTTACGTGCTGTTTAAGTATTTTCTGGTTTTCTTCTTTGTTCAGTAAAGTACAGTATCTAAGAAACTCGTTATAATAGAGGATAAAATAAAACGGAAAATTTTAGTAGTACGACGCCAGAAGCCCCAAGGAGAGGATTTGACTGCCATCTACAGAAAGCTACGACTGCCATTTGAATCGCTAACCTTCTGAAGATGGCGTAACAATTAATAAGAAAAATCAAGTCAGAACAAAGACCTATATCCAGATATAATTGCAATGTTAAAGAAAACAATAAATAAGTTAAAACTAAAGAAGCAGAAAAAATATTCCTAAAAAAAATGTATTAAATGGGACAGACCTGAACAACATTCACTTCAGCACAAAAGAGAGATTAATTATTCCTCCTTCCCCTTTTCCAATTGATTTTTCTTTTCATCGTTCTTTTCAAGGTTATTGAAGCAAAAATTGAGTTTCACCTAGTTGTGGTTAATGATAGTGTTTAACTAGTCACTCATTTCTATTTATACATTAACCAAATTATATCGAAAGTCGTTTGGTTTATGCTCTAGTTTATACCATCTTCCTAAATTAAGATGTATTACATAATTAATTTAATAATATGCCTTACTTCTTTATCTTAAATCGCAACCTATTATTTAGACGAAATTACCAATAATATAGAAGAGACGCTTTAACGAAATTTGTCATAAATATAGTCTGCTTATACAAAACAAATACGCTATGGAAATATTTATACACAAGTGGTTATTATCTTACATTATGGCACAAGATTACCAAAATGTTTTACAGAGAGGCATTTAAATACTTTATTCAATAAAAGTTGGGTTTTACCAAATTAGTTGACGAAATAACTTGACATTACAGCATAATTCTTTAGTCAACAAATTTTTAATATCTTGAGTTGAGATTTAAAAATGTCTATTCATCCTATTAAATTTACAACTTCTCAATTTGCATTAGAACTTCATGTCGAGCATAGCAGATAGTTTATAGACAAAATCTTATGAACTTTTCCTCTGTCAACAAAGCCAGCTCCCCTTTTTGAAATATTTTATTTGAATATCAGCTAATCGAGAAAGTTCCACACTATATTTGCTTTTAAAACACACTGTTACGAAACCTGAACATTTATCTCGGAATACAGGACATAACTTTCAGAAACGACTCAAGGTACGAAACATGGACTCTATATTAGGAAATTGGAATGCGAGGACACTAAATAAACCAGGAGCTCAACAAACCGCACTTCTGCAAGAACTAAAAAGAATAAGCTCATGATAACTGCTCTTTAGAAGACAAGATGGCTGCGGAAAGGTGTCAGGGACACTAAAACGCACACAATTCTATATAGGGGGAGGGAACAAGGTAGCAAATATGTTGAGTTGCATTTGTGGTGAATAATGGTTTTAAGTCAATAATCATAGACTTCCAGGCAGTCAGTGAAAGGATATGCAAGTTAAGAATTTGCAGTCACTTCTTCAACCTAAAGCACTATGCACTGCACAACAGAAGAACAAGAATAACATACAAAGAAAAGCTTATGCTAAAATAGGCAAGGAGCCGCAGTTCTATGGCACAACAGGAAAACACCTACTGCACATAAACATTGCAGTAAAAATATGGTTATAAGTTCCACTTGCTTCCCACATAAAGACATATACAAAACGACATGGATTTCACCAGATGTAATCACAACCACTTAAATTGACCATGTGCTAATAGACAAAAGGGCAGCAGTAGTATCTCAGATGTGAGAACACGACAAGGAGCATGCTGTCGATCAGACCATCTTTTACTCCAAACCAAATTTAGATGCAAAGTTAACAAAGAAAGAAACGAAAGACAACAAAAAACAAGACGTGGACACCACAAGGGAGAAGAAAAAGAGGAAGGCCGAGGAAGCTGGAGAGAGGGAATTGAAAAAGAACTAGAAGAAAGAGAAATCCCTCCAGGCCTATAGCTTAATATAGAAGAATGGCGGTTAGGAGTCAGAAGGCGTCGGAGAACGCTGTAAACCGATAGTAGTAGTAGTAGTAACAAAAAACAAACAAACTGGACCTAGAAAAACCGAAGGTTCTTAATATCCTTAATATACCTTAATATCTTAATATACACAAACATAGTTTGTGTTCAATTGGTAAGTTAAGTAAATAAAACAAACTAACAAACTAACAAAAATTCTTTAACTGAATGCTAGAATTCCTCAGTACAGATCTGTTAGTGTTCAGCGTATCCTTGGCAATTACATATTTAAAATAATATCTAGGTTGAGTATAAAGGTTTGAAAATTCCTTTGAATCAAATATTAGTAAAATGAAGTTAATGCAAATACTATTCATAGCTTTTTTACTATTTAAACTATCATGGCAGTATGAAAATTCTGATATAATTAAAATATTAAATGATTTTTTGGTGAAACTCAATTTCTCGTCACGTCATATCAAAGCATTTGTATGTTGGTCTAAAGGTAATATTAATTACAATAAATTTTAAAATAATCGATATAAACAGGGATTCATTTTTATTATTAGAAAATGAAATTCTTCTGATGAAAGCGCTTTGGCAAAGTAATTTTACAGCCATGATTTCACGCAGTAATGGTCACTTCGTTCATGCTTTTCCATATAC